ACCCAAGATAATAAAGACCCATGTTTTCAAAAGTAACTTCTGATTTTTGGTAATGTTTCCTGAGACATCTTAGAGGTATCTGAGTTTTGACCCACTTAATACCTTCTGAAAATGAGGCCTTTAGACAAATTTCCTAACTGGGCATCCAACATTTAAGAAACACAGAATTAGTAGGCATTTAAACATGTTTTGACCAAAGGTTAATCATCCCCAAGCCAGTTGCATGTTTTCTGCTTCTTCTGATAAAGTGTGTTTTTTGCGGGGGTTTGGGTGTATTTTTTAACATCTACAAGCATGGCTCCATGGGTGCTGAGCACTTGCTAATTTTTTTCAATGGGTGCTTGAGCCCTGGACCTTGCCCTACCCAGCCTGTTTGGCTGAGGGCTCAGCCCTTCCCTTGTACTTAGGAAGACTGAAGACCCAGCTATGCTCTCTAGGCAGACTTAAATACCTGTACCTTTGCCAGTCTCGCTATTAACACACATCACCCCTTCATTTCTATCAGGGGGCTCACATTCCTGATCCCCCAAACATGCATATTTATAAGACTACAATCTTTCCTTTTGGATATGTAGATCCATTAATCTGATAGGCTGTCTCTCCTGTATAATAATTTTGACCATCTAGGTCAGGCTTCTTTTAAAATGCAAATGTATTGTTGTCTGGCCAAACCCGGGCTTCCCCATGTCTCCTAATATGTCTGCATAGAGAACCAAAATACGGCCCAAGTCAAATGCTAATTCTCAGCCACTGGCTCTTCTACATATGACCATTTGTGGACTGTTCAAGTTAATTACCGTTTTACAAACATGACCCTAGCTGAAATATAAAGATGCATCAAAATTACATGTATATCAAATACTATAACATATACAAAGAGGGAACAACAGAACTGAACACAGCTTTGCAGTACCTACAGTTAGAGACCAGGCACCCCAGTAGTAAACCTAATTTGGAAGAATATCTATGCATGCCACATGGTAAATCCCAAAGTAACTCTATGTCTTGGAATACCTCCATGGCACTTGGCACCTTTGAAACCCAAGCCCAGCTGTCCCAATAGAAGCTGCTGGGTGCTGAACATGTTAAGTCCAGAGATACCTAGAGCAAATAAATCATTCTTGGTTTGCACATGGGATACATACAGACTAGTGATATTGGTTTAAAACTTAAGTCACACTGTCAGGACAAATCTATTGTGCGTAGGTCTCGGGATATTTGCAAAGGAGCCACAGATGAGTGATTTTTTGGCCTGTATAATTATGTTTTTTGCCACACAGAGAGGCTGCCTATACCATTTGTGGGTACCCCATGCTTGTAATCTCAACCTCTTCCCCACCCTTACTAGCTTCATTGGGAGTTAAGTGTATATAACTGCAGGAGTGGTCCAACTGACTGTTGTAAACTCAAAATGAAGCAGTTCCCCCCACCCCTCGCTTTGTGATTGGGTTATCATACCAGGGCTTTCATACCTAGTTTTTAACATGAGTAATGTTTTGGTATCTCTATTTTATTTATTAAAAGCCTGGAGATGAAATCATGTACAATTTCATGACTTATGTGTTGCGGGATGCATTAATGTAATACATGATAACAGTTTGTATGATAATCTTCAAACTACCTCCTGAGCTTTGGTAGTAATGTCTAACACTGTTTAGTTTAACGAATATGAGAGAGTCCAAAACCATATTCTTTAGCTATAGGTACTGCGTGTTCATAGCTGTTAGTTTAATGAGAAAATCTGTAGCTTACATTTGGCTTTGATGTTCTATTAGCAGGCTAAAGAGCATATGGACAGTAGCAAAGGACTTTAAATAACTCTCTGTGGTTTGTGCTGTAAACTGTATGATCCATTTGGAATGATATGGGCCGGTATCTTGAGAAAGCAGGTATCTATTGTTGGCACCGTGGAAACTGTCTTCATGTCTTGTCTGAAGAGCTGATGCTTATTTTCTTCTGTGCTCTACCATTCTTCCATCCTTTCATTAGTGGGGCCTCATGTTCATGTGGATTTGGGGTTCTCTAAGGCAGTGGATCTTAAGTTTGTTTTTACTTCAGAACTGAAATCTACCTGTAGCTTCACACAAGGATCTGCTTCCAAATGACTGCATGTTCACTGGGGGCCGGGGCTGGTTGGAAGCAACTGGAGATGTAAGGTAACTGGTGGGAGAGAATCTCCCTCCTCCCTCATAATCCCTGGCAGCTCACCTTGATGTGGTTAGGTTGTGAGGGATGGGTTACTTTGGGGAGAAAGGAAGATGACCTTCCACCTTCCTTCCATTTCTTTTCTACCCCTTTCATCCTAGGTCTCATAGGATTATGTTGCTGTACTATATTTTCCCAGTCCTGCTGCGAGTTGTTGTAGTGGAAGAGTTCCAACTTTGTGGATTGGATCTGGCATTGGGAGTAGGGTGACTTGGCTTCTCTTCCTGAAGCTGCTATTGACAGTCTCAAAAGGTCTCAAGTGGAGGTCCACAGGGATCTGCTCTAGATCTGGTGTTTGACATTTTTATTAGTGACTGGGATGCATGAATCGAAAGTATATTGATCAGATTTCCAGACGGCACAAAGCTGGGAGGGGTTGTAAATGCTTTGAAGGCAAAATTAAAGATCAAGGGGATCTGAATGAATTGGAGGACTGGGCTATAAGTAACAAAATTAAATTCAAGGAAGACAAATGTAAGACAAATGCACATATACAGAATAGGGGATAACAAATTTAACAGTAGCGCTGCTGAGAAGGATCTTGGGGTTACGGTGCTCAACATAAGTCAGCAGTGTAAAATTGTCACAAGAAAAGCAAATTTAATTGACAGTGGCATTAATAGAAGCATTGTGCGCAAGGCCTGGCCTGCTCTGTTTGACACTGATAACATATAGGCTGGATTACTGCATCCAATATTGGACACTGCATTTTAACATGGATGTAACAGGAACTGAAGGGCATCCAGAGGCAAGCTGTGATAAAGGGGCTGGAATGAGAGCCACAAGAGCAAAAATTGGAGAAAAGGTGATTGAGGGGACATGCTATTTCATATTTGAAATTGAAAGTTTGCAATGAAGAGGAAGGAGAAAATTTGTTCTCTCTTGCCACAAAGGGCAGGACATTAGACAATGAGGTTTTTTATATATATATAAGTTTTTACATTTAGATCAAACCTCAGAGAAAAACTTCTTAACTATACAAGTAATAGGCCAACGGTAAAAAGTGCTTGCCTGATTTGTGGAGTTACTTTCTTTAGAGGTTTCAAGAAGACGCTGGCTGCATGCATCTGGGGTGGTTGAGAGAGAGTGCATCCTGTATCTGGGTTTGGACTAGAAGTTTCTTAAGGGTCCCTTCTAGCTGTTTTTCTATAACTTACTATTTCTCAGTTGCATACTCGCAAAACTAGAAGAATGACACCCCCCATTAAAACTTCTTTGAAATCCTTGATGAAAATTCCCTAATAAAGCTCAATGTTGTTATTTATTATGTATTTGTCTGACTCTAGTATTTTAGCTCAGATTCTTTACCCCATCCATGATCTGCTTGGCATAACTGTGTGGTCTAACAAGGAGCCTGTCACAGTCCCTAATTCTTTTTTTAGCTCTGTGTTTAGCTTAATGGTTGCCCCAGGAGCCATGTGCTAGCTGGGTTCAGTGTGCTCCATCCAATTTGTCCTGTTCATAACCTGCAGGACACCAAGAAGTGTGATGTAGGTACGTCCATGCTGAATCTACAATGGCTGGGGATTCCCTTTCGCTGGGGTTCTCCAGCTGAAGAGACGAAGGTAGATGCATCAAAGTGAAATGGAAAATCTTTCCCTATAATGATAAAATTATTATTGCACTGCACAGTAATGTCCATGTTTACTAGTCAAGTGATCTTGTGTATACCTTACATGCACCTTGCAACAACATTGCCACTTTCACTGAGCAGCAGTTCCCTAGAGGTGAGTGTATGCAGCATGCATCAGGATTTGGGATGGCTCATAAAAATATTTGTCACCAGTGAAACATGATATTCTTTTGTGACTGAAATATTAGAAAAGCTGCAGTGTAACAAATGAGCTCATTTCAAAACATCTCAATGCAAACTGAAATAAGAGGAAAAGAAATGAAACCAGAATTGGTTTAAAATTCTATAAATTGTTTCTTCGTTTTTCCTCGGCACAAAGAAATTCACTTCTTTGTGTTCACATTTAGCAGTGAGCCTTAATTATTTTTACATAGGCTGTGAAAAGATTATTTAAGTGCAACCTTACACTTTTTTTCTTCTGTGTTATCTATGTGCAAAGTGGTGCAGCTCCTCTTTTACTTGGCTGTTTCCTTTCTTGTATTTGCCCCATGTGTATAGTCGTGTCATTGTATTTTTGGTCTATCTTCACACTGTAAATGCATGGGGGAGGAGATGCTGAGCCATAGCCTGCCCTTGGTTACTCAGTAAAGAGTAATTCAGTTGACCTCACTGATGTTACTTTGGATAGAAACTGATGTAACTGGAGCAGAAATCTAAGTCATTGTCTTTGTTTGTCTTCAAAGTGCTTTGCTCACCTATGATGTAATATAAATAATGCGTACTAAGTTATTCTCAGTTTCATCTATTCAAACCACTGTATCTAGCACCTGCATTTGATTATGGTAATCAAAGCAGTGCTCTTTCTTTGGTGACAAGGACAAAACAAAGCACAGCACAAAACCTAAAGACAAATCTCCTTGTCTTAGTTTTGCTTTTGGGCCCCTATAAACCATCCAAACCTTTGACTGCAGTGGCACCTCACGGTGAATCCTTAAACCAGAGAGCAGATGGTATCATGCTCTTAGTTTTCCTTTGTTAATGTTGTGCTTCAACTATAAGTTGCAGCCCTGCATTTATATTCCAAGCACAGGGTTTGCTTAGGCTGGTGGTTGCTCTTTGACCTCCTTCCTTCTTTGAATGTGCTTAACCGTGTTGCGTGCTAGCAAGTCACACTGAGGTGCAGCATTGATGAGCCCCTGTGTGTGTTTGTCTTATGATCTGCAGACAAGAAAAAGCCAGGCAAATTCCAGCCTTTCAAGAAGTTTTTTGGCAAAAGGAAAAAAAGAGACGCAACATCAGACTGTGAGGAAACCAAGTTGAAGCCAAGCCACTCCTTCGGGAATGTCTGCAACGGCACCCTCTCTTCAGATGAGGAAGCAAACAATGGCGTGAGGTAATAACTTATGTGTACTTGTCACCTGAGTGTATTTTAAATAGGAGACATAAGGGCTGCTGGACTGTGACAAATGCTGTTCCTTTTCAAAGAAAGATAGCAAGTCATACGCTGCTTACTGGAGTTTCTTTCTTGTATTGTGCTTACCACTGTAGGATCTGAGCATTTAACTCGTTATACACATAGTGATGACCGGTTCCACATGGAGCTGCATCAGAAAAGAAATTCCAGGGTTAAACAAGAGATTCAATTCCATTTTCATGGATTACTAAAACAGATATCACATTCCCAACACAGCTGGCACCCTTTTTTTGTTACTAATCTCAGCAGAGCAACTCTAAACTGACTGGCAGTGGAGACTATGCTGTAGCCTCTCTCCTCAAGCTAGTACTTCCAGATCAGGATTGAAGCATACTGGTGGGAAGGGATATGTGTGCTCAGTTGATAGAGCTGCTATTTCAGTATCTCATGAGCTATACATTCAATGAGGAGAAACGAGAGTTTTATTAAATCTAAAATCCAAGGACAGGGCGTCAGAAGACAATATTTTATATTCTTTGAATTGAGAATGGGGCCAAAAGATGGGCAGTTTCTGTTATGATGTTGGCTGAACAAGAGGTTTTGTAAATGAAATCCTAGCCCCAAACCAAAAAGTGTTACCTTTAGTTTTTTAGTATATGTCCCCTTGTCTAAAAATGTTTCTCTGATGATGCCAGCATCAAAACGAGGACCTTGATAAGGTCTTGATGAAAACTAAGAAATAAACCAACCAACCTTAGGCTGTATATGGGAGGGACTGGTGATGTTACAGAAGGAGTTTCAGCTTTCGTAGGTGCAAGGGAAAAATGGGTGCAAGGGAAGCGGCAGCTGGATTGATGGGAAGGAGAGAAACTAAGAGCATTACCAAAGACATGCCACATTAATGCAGGATGCAGCAGAGGCAGAGGTCTGAGCAGAAATAATAACAGGGTCTATTTCTAAAGCAGAGCCTTATGAATCTGTGCTGACACTTGGTCAAAGCCAACCACTCTGGGATGCCGTTTTCTCATACTACCTGTTTTCATGACAGGGACTATAAATGTCATACTGGAAAAGGACACAACAAATCCTTCTTCCAAAACATCCCTCCCCCATGCAGGGAACCACAACACTGACTTGACATCTTCAACACCACAAATTTACAGCTGTGAAAAGCAGAAGTCCCTAAAAATTAGGGTCCTTGGAAGTTCCTGGATCCTGAAATAGTCCATAAATTCTTAGCTTGGTTTTCTTTCATGTTTGTTAAGATACAGTATTGGATGGAGTTAGCTTCAGCCCACATAATGTGTAAATATGTTTGGGTGTGTGAGCACATGTATACACATCTGCATGAGTGCACGCGCATGCGCACGTGCGCGCGCGCGCGCACACACACACGGTTAGTTTATAACATGCAAATCTACTCTGCCTTCTAAGATACAGTTCTCCTAGTGTGAACCCATGTGCTGCTGCTTGCTTTTACAGCTTTGGAAAAGCACTCATCTGCACTCACTTGTGCACATCCCCTTCCCCTCCCCCACTAAGCAATGGGCCTGATATTACATTTTTGAATTTCCCATACTTACCAGTGAGGAACACACAGGCTACAGACAGACATTATACATAAACTGGTTTAAGTGATCAGAAACTGGTTTAAACCTATAACAGAGCAGATATTCAGTGCACATAAACCAGTTTGAAAATGGCTGAAACCAGTTTGAGATAAACCTGGTTGAGTGTAGCATCAGACTTAACTGATTTGGGTCAAGCTAGTTTATGCAATGTCTGTCCCAGACCCTTTGCCAGTTTAAGCCAAACCAGACACCCCCAGCATCCCAGCATGCTCCTTGGGCTGGGCGGGGATCTCTGCTCCACAACAGGGCTGGCCCCTCCCCTCTGCTCCCTGCCTGCAGCTCCAGTAGAGACTTGCAGGCACAGCGGAGTCTGTTGGCTTCCCTGTGCCCCCCTCTCCTCACACTGGCTGCTTAAGCAGAAATCCCTTTCTTCTCTCTCCCACAGCATGGACTGTAGCCAGCACGTGGTATACTAGCTAATACTGTGTGAGGCAGATAGAACAGTCTCCACTTAGGGCTTTTTGGAGGTAATCAACAGCTCAGATGGTAATGTCCCTGCATTCCTTCCTTTGGAAAAAAGCTGTTTAAGAAGAGCTTGTAATAAGAGAGGCTTTTCTGATGGGATGTTAAATGCTGATAACAGAGCTGATAAATGCTCTGTTATCAAGGGGGAGACCCCTCCCTTATCATAGTGACCTGCCAGGGCTTAGCCACGCCTCCCTCAGCTCAGCCCTGCGGAATGGAGGGCTGCTTTTGCGCCCCTTGGTTTCTAGCCTGAGCCACTGCAGGCACGTGCCTGCATTTCTGGGATGTCTGTCTGGTTACAAAGCTGATTTAGCCTAGCCAGCTTAGACTAACTTGCAAAGATTGAATCAATTCAGGCTCAGGCTTTTTGAATGTCTGTCCTTAGCCTAAAAACGTAGGATTAGACCAAGGAGAAAGAATCGTAACTGCGAAGCCCTCGACTTTTATAACCTAGTCACTGTAATGAAATGGTGAATGTCAGACCCTGATTGCCTGTCTAACCATGGGCAATTTATTTTCTTAATAAAAACAACAAAATTAATGACAAACTGTTGCTGGTATCAAGCCAGGTTGCACAGTTAAAATCACACGTATCCAGTAAATGGTAAAGGGCCTGGTTCTGAGCTCATTTGCAGCTGTTTTGCTACCTGTAGGAGTTGCTTCAGATTTACACTAATGGAAAGGCAGGCAGAATTGAACCTAAATTTTTAGCAGCCAGCTTCATTGTGCAAAGGTGGGTTTGCCAGTTATACAAGTTTCTAGATATAGTAGTCACAGCTCATGTTGTAAGATGAAACATTCAGCAGGGTTGAGTTACATTGCCTTTGAGACCTTAACTTTTGGCATCTGCTGACCTTTTCTGATTGCAAAACTGAAACATTAACATTTATATTTTTGTTTTTCTGTATTTACTAGATCAACCTTTGAAACTGTAATAAATACAACCGGGAAAAAAATATTACATAATGTGTGTAGCGATTTACTAGTAAATAAATTGGCAAATCTTGCATTATTTATCCAGTAATATATCAAAGCCAGTAGAAATAGCCAAATACATTTAAATAATCATGAATAGATTTATATAATAGTATCTGTCTCTCTTCTCTGGTTTGGATGCCCAAAAATCTACAAAGTTCAAATAATTTGAATAATGCTCATCATTGCTATTACTATTGTGTTTCTTCAGTTTTCTTTGAACAAAATCCCGTTTTAAATTCTCCCTGGTACATACATGGAAGTTTTTATCCACACTAACATGCTGTACTAAATTTCCATACAAATACTCCATAATCTGTATTACCTTGAAAAGACCCATTTGTGATTGGGCAGCTGCTTATTAACTGTATGTTAATATTGTTTAAAATCCCAACCTTGTAACAGTATATTATTAGCACTGTCCCTTGTCATTGTGAGGAATGTAAGCATTTTATCCCTTTTACCCAGTGAGGTTTAAATGCCTTCCATCTGGTCTTTTTCTGAGAAGCAGAATCTGAAACAATCTGGCACCTCCACATTGCCTTTCTCAAGGTACAAACTGCAGCCCCTGTTTATTAACATACATCTTTAATTGCTGCATGCAAGGGACGTGGACACTGAATGTGTTTATTACTTACAAAAGTAAAGTTTGTCACACTTTGCACATGAGGTTCTGGAAATCCATTACAGAAGCTCTCTGTGGTAGGGAGGTAATTTGGCACTTTGAAACTTTCCTACGCTTTTATTGAGAGTTAATACTGAGTTTATGCTGTGCAAATATCATAAAAAAGGATATGATCTCCCCTTATGGAAAGCTCATCACTCTGCTGTGTTCTTTGATGGACTGAGGCAACCACCCAACAAATTGACAATAGAGACTCCCTGTTACAGGAGTGGGCAGCTGTTTGGGCCCACCGGCCACACAAGGAGTTTTGCTGAGTTGTCATAGGTTGTGCCAGCACCCCCACTTCCCCCCCCCCCCC